ATGGTGCCGTTCCTGGCGGCTGGCATGCGTGCCGAGACCGGCGTGACCGACCCGGCCATGGCCGCAGCCCAATTGCGCCCGCGCAGCAAATCCGTGCCAGCCCCCGCCAAGGTTTGACCGACCTGGGTGTGCGCAGCCGCTTGCATCCGCTAAGCTAGCGGCCCATGCCGAATTCAGCTATTTACTCACAACCCGTTGTGCTCACTGTGCCTGGTGAGGGCAACGGGTTGTGTGCGTTCTATAAGGAAGTTTTATGACTGCTGCCCTGCAAGGCTCTTTGATGGTCGACGTTGCCGGTACCTGGCTGACGGCCGAGGATCGCCACCTGCTGCGCCAGCCTGAAGTGGGTGGCCTGATCATTTTCGCGCGCAATATCGAGCATCCGCGCCAAGTGCGGGAGTTGAGCGCGGCGATTCGTGCCGTGCGCCCGGACCTGCTGTTGGCCGTCGACCAGGAAGGCGGTCGCGTGCAGCGCCTGCGCCAGGGCTTTGTACGTCTGCCGGCCATGCGTGCGCTGGCGGATAACCCCAACGCGCAATTCCTGGCCGAGCAGTGCGGCTGGATCATGGCCACTGAAGTGCTGGCCGTGGGCCTGGACCTGAGCTTCGCCCCGGTACTCGATCTGGACTATCAACGCAGCGCCGTAGTCGGCACCCGCGCCTTCGAAGGCGACCCCGAGCGTGCTGCCGTGCTGGCGGGCGCATTCATCCGTGGCATGAACAGCGCCGGCATGGCCGCCACCGGTAAACACTTCCCGGGCCATGGTTGGGCCGAGGCCGATTCCCACGTCGCGATTCCCAATGACGAACGCAGCCTGGAAGAGATTCGTGCCAACGACCTGGTGCCTTTCGCACGCTTGAGCCGGCAACTGGCCGCCGTCATGCCCGCCCATGTCATCTACCCGCAAGTCGACGCCCAGCCTGCCGGCTTCTCGCGCCGCTGGTTGCAGGACATCCTGCGCGGTGAGTTGCAGTTCGATGGGGTGATTTTCAGTGATGACCTGTCCATGGCGGGTGCACATGTGGTCGGTGATGCGGCCAGCCGGATTGAAGCGGCGCTGACGGCCGGTTGCGATATGGGGCTGGTGTGCAACGATCGTGCGGCGGCTGAGTTGGCGTTGAGTGCGGCACAGCGGATGAAGGTCACACCGTCGGCGCGCATTGCGCGGATGCGTGGGCAGGCAATGGCTTCGACGGACTACAAGCAGGATCCGCGTTGGCTGGCGGCGCTGACGGCGTTGCGGGATGCTCAACTGATTGACTGAACACCGCGGCGCGGCC